TTTATTATTTATTATTTATTATTTATTATTTATTATTTATTATTTATTATTTTTTATTTATTATTTATAATTTGTAATTTATTATTTATTATTTATTTACTTATCATTATTTATTTACTATTATAATTTTTTATTTTAAAGATCTCTCTGCAGTTAAATTGAGCTAACCTGCCACTCAACTTGAAAATAAATAAATCTTAAAACTGACTAAGAAAATATTCAAATTTCAATATCTTTGCCCTGGCAAGTTCATTGTATAATTCATAGCACTTAATATTGATGGCCTGAGTGATTGATCGCTGTGCCGTTGACCCGATTTTAGAGTCCGACACGAAACTGTTGCAAGCTGTGTGGCAACAGCAGCAGCAGCAGCAACAGTAGCTGCAGCAGCAGCACGTGTGCAGCCAGCGGCTGGCTCATTGATTATGAGTGCTACAAAGCTCAGCTGTGCTCGGTTAATGGCAGCCACAAAGAATGGGCCGTCTGTCAATCGATTTGCCCCCAAAGAGTTGTTACATAAAAATGGCGCGCCAATAAATCGATGCCGGCTGGCCTGGCCAGAATCTACAGTCTGGGCTGCGTCAGGTGGAAGGTTTGGGGCGTTGCACTGCCAACAACAATAGATGGCCGCAAAGTGTACGAAATTGAAAGTTGGCATAATGAGGGCCGACTGCACGGAGCTCCAAGAACGGAGCGAGCGCCAGATTTGGCAATTACAGCTGATTACACTGCAGCGACGTCGCTGTCAACAACAACAGCAGCAGCAGCAGCAGCAACAACAGCAACAACAGCAACAGCTGCAGCGGCGTTGACGAGGCGACGGCAACAACAGCATCTGCATTGCTGCTGGCGGTTAGAATCTTAGATGCGCTGCACTCGGCTGGCTGTATAAATAGCCGTGAGTGCGCCCAGTTGTAAATTAGTTAGTGCACAGCAGCAACATCAGCAGCAACAGCAACAGCAACATCAGGCAGCAGCAACAACAACAGACAGCAACAACAACTTCTCTCGCCAAGATGCAGTCGATACGTCGCTTGGTTCTTGTCGGGCTCTTGGCCGCGCTGAGCCTCTGCGCTTTTGCTAAGCCACATGGCTGGAGCAGTGGAGGTGGTGGTGGTAGCGGCTGGTCGTCGGGTGGCGGCGGTGGCTGGTCCTCGGGTGGCGGTGGAGGCGGCGGCTGGAAGAGCGGCGGTGGCTCGTCTGGCTGGTCATCGGGCGGTGGTGGAGGCAGCGGCTGGCCTAGTGGTGGTGGCGGCGGTGGTGGCTGGAAGAGCGGCGGTGGCTCCTCTGGCTGGTCATCGGGAGGCGGCTCCTCTGGCTGGCCCAGCAAGATAAGCATCAGCGCCTGGCCGTCCAGCGGCGGCGGCGGCGGCGGTAGCAGCGGTTGGTCCTCAGGCGGAGGCGGCGGTGGCTGGAAGAGCGGCGGAGGCGGCGGCAGTGGTGGCTGGAAACTCAGCTCCGGCGGCGGTGGCGGCGGCGGCGGCCTGGGCGCTGGTTGGTCTAGCGCCTTGTCTAGCCTCTCTGGCTGGAAATCTCAAGCGCTGTCTGGTCTTAGCAGCGGCTGGAAGTCTGGCGGCGGTGGTGGCGGCGGCTGGAAATCTGGCGGAGGCGGCGGCGGCGGCTGGAAAAGCGGCGGAGGAGGCGGTGGCGGCTGGAAAAGCGGCGGTGGTGGTTGGTCCTCCGGCGGCTCAAGCGGCGGCTGGAGCTGGTAGAAATCCGTCCATAAGAAAACACTGAGGCGACACTTAAAAGGATCTGCAACTGTACATAAAAAAAATAATCTCTAATGCTTTATCTAGCAAGTTTTTTTTTTTATTTTTTTAAACCTCAATAAATATATACGATAATCCAAAATATGTGAACATTTGCGGGAAAAGCCACGTGAAGGAGTTAAGAGTTGGAGAAGACAGAGAGAAAAAGAGAGAGAAAGAGTGAGTTCAAGGAACTTTTTTAGGCAATGAAAGTGCTAGTCGTATATACCCAACATGAGAGCTATTTCCAGTCATAGTTATCATGCATATGATGCCACTCATTTTATATTCATACATTTTATATCATATCATATCATCCTTTCGTCAATTAAGGTGAGGGAACTGCGTATGTTGTTTCCAACCAATGCCCGTGCTGCTGTCCGTCCGTCCGACTGTTCGTATGAATGCAAACCATATCGAAACTGCTGAAACTTGAGACTGGAAATTCGAAATATACTCTCGTGCGTCAGCAGTCTTCCAATAGATCTAATACCTTGGCCAACAAGAGGCTATAGACTAAATGGCTTAGCCAAGACTTATTATGGACCACTTGAGCTAGGGCACATCCGTATCTCACTATCAGATCTCAGCTGATCATCTAATATTAGATAGGATAGTTAATTCCATGAAATCCAACTGTTTATGGATAACTTTTATTGAACGAGAATACTTTATGATAATATTCAGCTATTTTAGTAGGTCTTATATGTTAGAATGAGCGAAAACAGAACTTTTCCTGCCCTTAGAACATAACATGCTGCGTCATCTAAGAAAGGGAATTAGTCAATTCCAGCTGCTTTAAAGTTTTTACCTATTTTATAGCTGCAATATTGCATATTGGATTGATTGTGAGCTGATGATGAGCAATCTAGTCCAGTTGATCGACTAATCCAAAACAAAGACTTGCTGTAGAGCCTGTAGAGCATAATCCAAGACAACGTCGAGATGCTTATGCCTATAGTGCCATATTTTATATATACCTGCCAGGCAAGAAAATCTTCAAAAATGATCATATATTACGTTCCTCGAGCGCAACATCTTCCCTTGAATAAACACTTCAGTAACTTTTAGCAAAATGAACATTTCTTTATTAGTACATATAAACATAGAGTATGGGAGAGGAATGAGAAACTTTGGGCACTACTAGGTAGATAGCAAAAAAAAAAACGTTAGTTATAGCACTTGTGGGAGTCGCCTCTAGCTCTAAGTCTAGATGCCGTAGAACACATGTTAGCCGAGGGAGCAGCCGGAGTATTTACATTTCGTTTCGTCTTGGAGTTCTCGTTGCTGTGGCTCTGGAGTGCGGTTTACCAGCCACCACCGCCGTGCTTGCCACCACCTCCACCGCCACCGCCGTGCTTGCCGCCACCGCCTCCATAGCCGCCACCGCCGCCGCCTCCGCCGTGCTTGCCGCCGCCTCCGTTACCACCTTGCCAGGACACCGAGCTGCCCCGATTGCCGGCCAGGGACTTGCCGCCACCACCGCCGCCGCCGTATCCACCCTGACCGCCGCTGCCTCCTCCGCTCTTTTGCCAGCCACCGCCGCCGCCGCCGCCTCCGCCATTCTTCTGCCAGCCGCCTTTACCGCCGCCGCCGCCGCCACCACCGTAGCCACCTCCGCCGCCGCCGCCACCACCCAGCAAACCAGCCGAGGCGATGGCGAACATGAGAGCGCACAGGAATACGACGAGCAGAGCGTAGCGCATGTTGAGCTGTAGAATCCTTCGATAGATGAACTGTTCTGGAACTGTTTTGGAGCTGTTGCTGTTGGCGCTGTTAGAACCTTAGCTTCACTGATGCCATTACCGGGCCCAGCGCAGCGCTTTTATAGCCGTCAAAGGTGCACGGAATAAGTCAAGCTCCCGCTGAGTCATGCTGCTCCCAAACACTGATTGGGCATAAAACTAAGGCAATGTGAGATGCGATCAGCCTCTGTCTGTGTGCGTGTGTGAGTGTGTGAGTGTGGGTGTGTGAGTGTGTGGCGGAGCGACGCACCCAAAGGCTACTCGGAAGGCTGAGAACAACTGTGCACTCAAGTGGCTGTCGAAGCCCGCGCACTGCACTCGCTGTCAAGAGGGCGGCACACGCGGCGCATACGCAACATTTATGCTGGGAGTACGCGGAGCATGCGCCGCACTGAGCCGCACGGGCAACCACTTCTAAACTGCTGAGCCATAGCGATGTCATTAATTACGAGCGTTTGTGCAGCCACACAATTTGTTTAACAATTTACAATTGAAATTCTGTAATTTTTCATATTTTCCAGATACTTCTGCATAATTAATTTGATTTTAGTTTTTGCTGGTTTTCTGTATTTTCTACTTGGTTTTCTCGGTATTCGCATGCGAAGCGAGTGCTAGACAAATGTGTGTGTGTGTGTGTGTGTGTGTGCTGCACGACTCAACCACATTCGCATGCGACGAGTTCAATGTCAATTGCTGTGCAAGCACTCACACACACACACACACACACACACACACACACACGCACACATGCAAACGCAAAGGCCTAACAAATGAGCTGCCTGCTCAAGAGAATTACTCAACTAATATATTGCCGCTACTTGTCCACTGAGTGTGTTGCATTCAACGCATTCAACGCGTGCGGCAGCCAAACATGGCTCAAAGCCACAAATAACCTCATAGCCAAGTCCACAAGCCGACCTCAACCGCCAGAGCAGCAAATCTGCTTCGCATCTGCAGCACAGTGGGCTAAAAGTTACATTCCTAATCATTTTGTATACCCTGAACCCATTCAAAATGGGAAATCAAGGTGTTATGGTTTTTTGAAAAGTATGTAACGGGCAGAAGGCATCATAGCAGACCCCATAAAGTATATATATTCTTGATCAGCACGACGAGCTGAGTCGACATAGCCCCGTCCGTCCGTATGAGCAAGCCGATCTCAGAAGTTATAAGAACTAGAGAGCTGAAATTTGGCATGCATACTCGTGCATACCATACGCAGTACAAGTTTATCACACTTTCGATAACTCATCAGTTCGAATCATCGAGAATTAACGAGAACGACTTTTTTTCCAAGGGAAGGAACCTTTTTTCTATTTATCACGAATTCCGATTCAGCAGTGTGCAAATTTTCGAGAGTCAACTCTATCTCAACTGACCGCTTTTAGCCTCTACGGCGTATTATAGCTGTCTTTGTCAAAAGATACAACGTTGCCAGATAGATCTGTCGAATATGGACAACCCTGTATATATTGAATATCTAATATTATGAAGTACTATGAAATGAACAAGTTTCCTATTCTGCTCTTTTTTGTCAAGAATGGTTCCTTGGGAACCTTTTCAGAGCTGTTATAAAAATGTTATTCGAGAGCTGTTATCACATTTATCGTCTCCTCTCATTCGGTGTGTGTGTGTGAGAGAGCGAGAGAGACAAAGACAAAGACAGCTATTACTTGGAGAAATCTCTATTTCCAAATATATTCTCAAATGATAAATCCAACAGTTGCCGCATTTCGTGCCAGTGTGCAACTCCATGAGTGATGAGCACTGAATGCTCCACGAGCACTGAGAATGCGCAAAGTAATAGCGATAATTACGACGTTGGGCTAGCATTTTAATTATTATGGACCATAATTCAAAAATGCATTTATGCGAATTTCGAGATCAGCGAGCACACAGCACAGAGCCTCTCACTGCTGGGCCCACAACACTGCCAATTCTCGATCTGGTTCCCAGACAGACGTAGCAGCGGGCAGAGGGCGGCGGGTTTCTGAACTTGAAGATGTTGCATCTATGTTAATATCTGTGCTCAATACTATTTTTTAATTGCTCTCGACTGAGAAATGAAATATGGCAAGCCGAAACGTGTCTAGTGCATTCGCTCGTCAATCATTTGCCAACATTCGAATGAAATTCATGCAATTTCTTGCTTATTTTACAATTTACAATTTATATTTGTTTACAAAAAAAAAAAAATAGGCTTGTTGGTATAAAAAAAAAAAAAGAGTAGAAACAAATGATAAACTCTCTTATGCATATACGTAATATGAAAGCAAAAATCAGTAATCAATTCGAGTCAGCGCGCGATGGAGCCAGAGCCTTTGGCTGGGATCCTCACTACCAGCCGCTGCTGCCCCATCCGCTGTTGCCACTGGACCAGCCGCTGCTGACGATGCTGGGGCTCGACCAGCCACCACCGTTGCTCCAGCCACCACCGTTGCTCCAGCCACCACCGTTGCTCCAGCCGCCGCCATTGCCCCAGCCGCCGCCATTGCTCCAGCCACTGCCGCCGCCGCCGCCGCCAACTTTGATGACCTTGATGATCTTGGGCTGGGAAGACCAGCCGCTGTTCCAGCCGCCGCCGCTGCTGCCCCAAGGATTCGAGCTCCAGCCGCCGCTGCTAACGATGCCGCTGCCCCAAGGATTCGAGCTCCAGCCACCTGTGCTGATGCCGCCGCTGCCCCAAGGATTCGAGCTCCAGCCGCTTCGGCCACCTGACCAGCCGCTGCTGCGAATAAGTCCAGCCGAGCTGCAGGCAATCAGAGCGCTGAGTACTATGAACAGTTTCATTTTGCTTGATCTTCAGGTAGCTTTATCCTGGCTGTCTGCGATGTGGGTGTGAGTTTTGAAGTGCGGCAATTGAATGATCTGAAAACACACGCAGCATACGCTATTTATCTGAATTTGCATAGCCACAGCGGCCGTCCATCATATGTAGGGGAGCGGCCGTCCGGCTGACCGGCTGACCGGCTGACCGGCTGAGCGACTCATCAAGTCAAGAATCCACAAAATAAATCGCACCGCTTTGCAGGTGGGGGTTGCTGTGGTGCGGTCTTAAACCAGCTGCGCACTTTGAGTGAGAGCAGCGAGCGGGCGGTAATTGCAGTTTATTAAACCACTTTGAGCGTCCGATTCTTGACCAGGGTCAACTACTTTACAGCACTTTACGACCGTCTCATTGGCAATAGCATCTGCGGCAGCAGCTCATCCCATGCTCCGCCGTCCCATGGGGGGGCCAGTTCTTGTTGCCGAATTGCGCATAACTCACACGGTTGATGGATCATTTCCTCGCCACGCTGTTGGCCTCTTACTGCCGACTTCAGTCAGCTGGCGGAAACAACGAGCGCAGTTGACGGCTGCTTGGCACGGTTAACTCTAATCGCCGATATGCCCACAGAAGCTCGCGACGGGTGACTCATTTGTCATGTTGCCAGCTCAGCCAGGTGAAGGGGCCCGCCAGCTGCAAGCCACAGCACCGCAGCACCGCAGCGCTGCGGCTGGCACCACAGTAGCCACCGGTTGGCGACGAACCAGAGCAGAGAACTCTAAAGAGTTTTAGTAACTGCTAATCTTAAGTTGGTAAGATATTTATTTCTTATTATTCTTATTATGCTTACATTTTGTTATGTAATTTAATTGCTGAGAGCTAAAATTATAAAAGTATTTTTATTAATACATATATGTCACAATTTATTTATTTATTTTTATTATATGTATTTTGTATATTTTTATATATAGCCAAATTGCTCAGAAAGTTAGTTTTATTTATATTTTATATATGTATATACCGCGTTATATTAATATTTTTTTTTACATTTTTTACATAATTTTACATTGTGCATTTTATTGAATTTTGAAGTTCCTATTCAAGTTCATTGGGAAATTTATTCAGCTATTTTATTTATTTTTGAGGATTTTATTATTTAAATTTTTAGATTTATTTATTATCTATTTATATTATTTATTTTTATGATTTCATACTTTTATCGCTTATAATATGTAGTTTTTTTTTTAATATTTATTAAAACTGTTTTATCTCGGAAGTTCATAAAAGCACAATTTATATTTGAAATTATTTTATTTGTATTTTAAGACAACAATTTTGGTATTTGTATTGTCTAAATTTGATTTTCAGAAATATGAGGTTTTTTTTTTTTTTAAATAAATAAATTATGTTGTAGTGCTCATATATTTTGCTAAGATATTTTATAATATATAATAAATAATATGTCCTCGCTGCCATAAACAATTAATCATCAAGAGACATAAAAATATGCACATAAAATATTTAATAAATTAAAAAAAAAAAAACTCTATAGTAATAAAAACATATGAATTTACTTAAATAACAATTTATTATATGTATGAGAAAATCCAGCAATAGCATTAGTTTTTAAAATTATTTTAAGCGCTTTACTTTTTTATATCATGTATTTTTTACTAATATTCTTTTTATTTAGTTCTATATTTTTTATGTATTCCTATTATTTTTTGTTTTTATTTCTATTCATTTTCATTCATATTCGTTTAGTTTTCTATAAGTGTAATGTGTAATGAGCTAAATTTAGATTGTAGATTGTCATTTATTCTTGATCCCAGTGTAAATTACTGGTTTGCACTCATTTTTGAGGTGTCGTTAATGAACAGGATGTATTCCTTGACTGGCATTAATCGCATTTCAACATTCTCTTAACGCATTCCAGTTGACCTCGCCCATTCGATGCGCTGCAGTTGACGTGGCCGATCGCAACTTTTGAGGCTCACTGTACTTTGGCGCCTAGACGCTGTGCGTGTGTGTGTCTATTTCATAGATGTTAGAGAATTGTTTTTGCTACTTGTGAAGCTTTATGTTTTTTTAGCATAGGCATTATAAACAAAAATTAATTGAATTGTCAACGCTTAACATGCAAATTGTATTTGGGGGCCCATAGTTCAGGCCAAGCAAATATCTGACGAAAATAAACAGCTTATATGTAGAAGGAATTAAATACTATGAAAAAAAAAAATGATATAGCGGATAATTTTTTCGAAACTGCAATATTATCGGCTTATCGCAGTCACGGAATTACTATGGGATTTCATAAGATCTCTTAAGCCTATATTAGTTGGTAAGTTTCCTTTCGAATGCAGCTCCGAATGTTCAGAATTCTCGCATTCAGAGGCAACCACAAGTGGAACGGGTATCAGGTATCGATATAGGTTTGGATATCATCACGAAGTGCGGCCTTTACTTGTCACAGACGCCGCACTTGGCGAGCCGGGCTGAACGCGTGCCCGATGACTGCTTGCCATAGGGCTTGATGCTGTTGACCTCCAGGAAGTAGTTGCCCTTGATGTTGTGCGGCACAGCGTAGCCCATGGGATACTGTTCGCCGGTGCAGAGATCATCGCGCAGCCTTCTCAGCGAGCTGCAGCGTGTGGCCAGGAAGTTGCGCTCGTTGCCCGGATAAATGGACTCCTCGTAATACTCCCAGGCACGGGCATGGGCACAGGTCACCGAAATGCAGCCGGCGGGCAGAGGATCCAGACCGCCCGGATAGAAGTCCACATCGCCCATGGGATCCCGTTTGCCCAGCACGCCCGGATTACTATGGATGACATCGATGAACTTCGCGTCGCCGCGCTGCAGGCCCGACAGAACCTCGCCCTCATTGAAGCACGGCTTGGCCGGATCCAGTCCAGTGATGCGCGACAACGTTTTGCCAGTCATCTGCTGCAGATAGCGTCCCGCCGAGCCCACAATGTGCGCGCCCAGACTGTGGCCAATCAGATGGATTTTGTCCACATTGACCACATCCAGCAGCTTGACCAAGCCCCGAGCAATGTTCTCGCCAATCTCGTCTGTATTGAAAGCGGACCAAGTGTACAGGGTATCTATGAATTTGGCAACATCCACAGCCTGCAAGATAGATAATAGATTTAGATGGACTGATAAATAAGTATATAAAATGAAAAGAGAAATAATCAGAGATGCTGGGAGGTATCGATATATCTATACCAATAGATAGTAGCTACATATATGAATAGATGGATATACATATATCTATCCGATGGTGGATAAATGGATAGATGGAAAAATAGATAAATGAAGAGATGGATATATGGATATGTGGATAGATTGGTTAGATGGATGAATGAAGAGTTGGATTATGGATAGATGTCTAGATGGATAGATGGATACATGGTTAGATAAATAAATAAATAAATGGTTAAGTGGATAGATGAACACATCGATAGACGGATAGATGACTAAATGGATATATGGATACCTGGATAAGTAGAGATGTGAATAAAAGGATTCTTAAAACTATAGATGGAGAAAAGTGCATAATGGACTAATCAGACTATGAGAGAACTATACGCTAGTCTCTTTTGATCTTAAAACAGATACCGAAGAATCCAGGTATGGTATCATATGTAGCATGAATCGTCCCTCTTTCTATTTACTCATATTTGATTATACCCTAAGCCCATTGTTATGTTATGATCTATAAATATTATTTGCTGGGTATCTGTTAGCTAATGACTTTTGTGAACTTCTCTAGCTTCTCAAGTTCAAAGGCTATCGCCTAACGCGTCATAGCTTTCATTTGGCATCGAGAGGTCGGCCCTCCTAAATTAATGATAAGAACTGAAATTTGCAACAGATGCAGCTAAAGTGATTAAATGGTAAGCAAATGACATTTTAATAGACCTAAGCTAAATATAATATACTTTGGGTTCGTCAAAATGCCTGTTTCAAGTTCAAATGCAATATCTCGCCTTCAAACAGACGGCGGGTATATGCGCCTTCATATGTGATCTGCACTTTGTCCATATTGATTCAGTTCGACATTCAGAATTTAAGCTCTAACTTAGATAAGGGAAATCATAAGCACGGGACTCACCACAAAGTTAACATCGCCGCGACAGTTGTAGGCCTGGGCAAATTTATCGATGGTTTCGTCCGTGTCATTGATGCTGGTCGTCCAGCCGGTGGCCAGAATGACAACGCCCTTCTTGGGATCGAAGTCGGGGCTGCGCCATATGGAGTCGGCCTCGAGAAGTGGAAAGCTCGTCTTGTTGCAGGCGGTGCGCAGCTGGAACTTCATTTGCTTGATGTCCGGCGTGTACTTGGACTTGATTTTATTGGAGCTCAGCGCTTGAGAGCCTGTGCAAGGAATGAGACACGAAATGCATCAGTTTTATCAGAGTTGTTGTTGTGTTGTCGGCTGCTCACATAGAAAGTTGATGGAGGAGGAGACGTATTCAAAGGGATAGCCGGCGATCAGATTCTTGCTACCCTCGAGCAGGCCCTGCGGCGTGGGCAACGACTTCGTATCGATGATGGAGGAGCCAACATTCCGCAGCGAGCCCACAACATCGGGCACCGTCCACTCAATGCCCTGGCCCAAGGCGGCGAACAGCAGCAGATGCAGCAGGCAGGCTGAGAGATTTAGGTTCGGACTTCCCATGCTGAGCGACAGTTCCGAGCGCAATGAATACCGAATGCCATACGGAGTAAGTATTTATAGGCCGGTCGGCACCTGAAAGGCGCACACGAGCAATGCGGAGAGAGTGAGTGCGAGCAGTGCGACACTTCTAGAGAGAGTGAGAGAGTGAGTGAGAACGGCCGGCCGGCCTAACTGTGACCATATAGGTGTATTTCATGCGCAACACGGCAATCAGATAAGGTGCACTTGTCTCTTAATTAGATTCGACAATTTCACTGACGACACACACACACACACACACACACATACATAGATAGACATACTCCTAGTCTAATGGACTAATATGCATTTTATTCAAATATTTATCGTTAATCCGCATCCAAATCTGAATCGAAACAATTGTTCTCTCTCTCTCTCTCACATTCTCTGTCCCTTGCCAACAACCCGATCTGTTTGTAAATAATTCATATCTCACAGTATACCCCTTACGATTTGCTTTGATAATATATCATCAGCTACTTGAAGCAAACGAGACGAATTAGAGATCACCTCGATTCCACTCAAGCAAACAATCTATAAATTATTGTTTTACCTGATTGCGAATAAACAAGATTTGCAAAAATTGTCACAGCTTATATAGTAAGCGGTCAGCCTTCGCGAGAATATCGCGCTTACTTCACAGTTCATAGGGTATACCGATCGGTGGATGATGCGGCTTACTGTCATATTGTCTGATATTGCCTGCCGCCTACGACAATATCATATTAATGGGGGTATTCCGCACTCATTGCTATGCTGCTGACACGCTCCACCCGCCCCATTTGGAGTGTTCCGAGCGTCACAAAGAACTAGTTGACATCAGCGCAGTCGGCGAATTCTTGAGGCAACTCACGAATGCTAAATCCACTAAAGTTGATGAACAAAGATGTGCTGCAAGTATATAGTCTAGATATAATCGACTATATAACAATCCATTTCAATACGAATCGGTTATCTCGCCTGGTTTGGATACAGTTTGTGCTCGAGTATATTATATATAGGGTATTTACTCGCCTGTTTGGCTTGCCAATCATATGACATGACAGATAATGTGGCATGATATGGTATTTCCCATCATTAAATACTTCATATCAGAAAGCGACAAAATTGATATTTATTTGCGATATACCAGATGCTGAGCTGATCTAGTGATATCTGATTTAATACTTTTCTTCTCAAACAGGAAATGATCCAATTTGATTGAAAACTCATTTAAATGAAATCTCTCACAAATGATGATTTATCTCAAGCAGAATACAATTTATATATATATATGTATATGTTCTGGATAGAGCAAGCTTCATTTTAGCTGTTCTACCTGCCATGAGTAATCTACCTGTCATGATTACGAGTACGAGTACGACTTCTCAAAAAACGCATTAAAAAACTCTGTTAGAGCTCTACTCTTACCTAACTAATATAGCCTTGAAGGTCAGAACTCAGGTAGCCGATATACCCAAGCAAAGGAAAGAGAAATTAGCAAAAATATAATTTCACTTCAAGAGAAACATAAACTTAATGTTCTTCTTCTGTTTAATATTCACCGAATCGATTATGCTTCATGGTTGGTTATATGTATAAAGATTTTGAGAAGTAACATACATAGATATTATATATTGTCATACGAGCACCACGCTGAGACACTCAGTTCTCTTCGCTGCACAGGCCGCACGCGCTGTTGGTCGATGTGAAGCTGTCCGGATTGGCATTGGTGCCATAGGGCTCGGCTGCATTGGCATCCACGTAGAATGTGCCCAGTTTGGAGGCAGCGTAGCCCATGTAGGCGGTGTCGTCGCTTTTGCAATTGTCGCCAGTCCAGAGATCGACATAGTTGTCGCAGCGTCTGCCCACAAAGTTCTCCGTGTTCGTGGGATACACGGACTCCACGTAGTAGTCGACGGCGCGCTGATGCGAGCAGGAGAGGGAATCGAGGCCACTGCAGCCGGACTTGATGGGAGCCAGGCCCTGGACAAAGAAGTTGCCATCGGCTGCTGAATCGGGTGTGCCTGCTACGCCCGGATTGGAGGTTACCGTGTCCACATAAACAGCATCGCCCCTGCGCACGCCCGGCAGCTCGTTGCCATCGTAGAAGCACGGATTGGCCGGATCCAAGCCGGTGACGCGCGACAATATTGCGCCGCCCGTCAGCAGCTTATAGTTGCGACCCGTTGAGCCCGCGATCTGGGCGCCCAGGCTGTGGCCCACGATGTGCACGTGCTTGGTCACATAGTCGCGGTCCAGCTGCAGCAGCGCCTGGGCCACATAGAGCCCGATGGCCTCCGTGTTCAGGGCCGACCAGCTGTAGAGGGTCTTGATATAGTTGGCTGCATCCAGCACCTGTTTAACGAATCAATTAAAAATGTCAAGGAGCTAGTTCTATAATCTTATATCTATAATCTGCGGAACTAGTTCCATTGCAAGTTCCCTTAACCTTCAAACTAGTTCAATTTGGACTCACCACAAAGTTGGTGTCATTGCGACAGGCGAATGCCTTGGCCACTGGGCCGCTGTTGGAGCTATCGATGGTGGAGCCCCAGCCGGTGACGAAGATGACCGTCGGCCTGTCCTGATAGAAGCCCGGCGTGTCCCACAGCTCGCTGGCCCGGGTCAGCGGAATGCTGACATTGTTGCAGGCATCGGGCCGCAGCTGGAAGCTCATGAGCGACATGTCTGGCACGATCTTGGACTGCACCAGACCCAGGTCCATGATGGTGCTGCAGATGTACGTGAGCGCCGAGAGGCTGATGTCGATCGGCAGTCCAAAAATGATGCCACGCAATTGATCCTGCAGCCGGTCGCGCTGGAGGCGCAGCAAAGCCGTATTCCTCCTCCCACCTCTAGTCGAGTTCTGGCCTAGGGCCATGCCCACCACGCCCACCACGACAAGTGCCGATATTAACAGGGCTAAGGGCTTCATTCTGTTGCTCTAATTGGCGACAAGGCACGCCCTTATATACCTACTATCGAACGGCCAGAGACACGTGTTAATATTGATAAAAGCCACACAATGGCGATATTTGGTCTTCTGCATGAGAATTTCGCTTAATCAGCTGCTCCAGTTACAATGGACACAATAGAGCCCGGCCACGTGACCAACTGTTTAATAACCAGGCCAACAAAAATCGAATTGTCCAAGCGTTTGCCCAGCGATCAGCGATCAGCGATCAGCGATCAGTTCATTCCCAGCTGGCCCATTGCAGCAATTGCTCGTCGTTGTGGGTGCTCCCGACTTGGCCAAACAGAAAACAGCACAATAACGAACAGCAACAACAACAGTGAAGAAAACAAAATTGAAATATTTGCGTTAGGAAATGCTGCCGACAAAATGCGAATTAATAACCAAAAGTTGTTACTGTTGTTGGCTCCGCTGTGGGTGTACGCGCAGCAATCACTGCCAACAACAACAGCAACCACACTAACAGCAACAACAACAACAGCACCAACAACTTATTACATTGGTAATTTGTGTGCGCAAAAGTTTTGTGGGGCGTCCCACTGCCCCGCTTGACTTGCTGTTGCTGTTGTTGTTGCTATTGTTGTTGCTGCTGAGACTATTTGTTGCTGCTACGACGACTGGCACGCCAACAGCAGCAGTAGCAGCAACTGCGCCCGCTTGTTGTTGTTGTAACACGCAACGTGTCAAAAGATTTGATGAATAAAAGTGTAAACTAATTATAACACCGCAAGTCGATTGCACTTGCACATGCGCCATTCCTCGAAAGAGTGGCCAGCGCTTATTTTGATTGGCCATACAAACATATACACATAAATATACATATATATTGTATGTGTATAAGCATATATGTAAACACAAAACAAACTTAATTAGCTACAATATTTTAAACAATTTTTATAGCCTGTATCATAATGCATTCCTATGCTCGTATATCATATTTAATTATCGCGATGAGTGCTATAAAAATAAATGGCATTTTTTATAGAATGTTAAGGAATACGAGTGGACATATACATATATACATATACCTATATATAAAGACTTGTAGAATGTTAAGGAATACAAATGTACATATATTTGTATATATCAAGTCTCATATAAATAATTTCTTATGCGAGAAACAGAGCTAATCTTCTTCCTGAGAGGCTGAGCTGGTATGCATATCTGCAGCATTTGAATACATACTTTAAGAAATCTTTGTTTCATACACAAGTTCGGAATCAAATATATGAAAATAAATGTAAATGAGTCTCAATTCAGGAATTTGTATACAGATGCAACAATAGGTTTTTGCTTAAACTTGATATAAATAGAGAGACTCAGCTAGCGAAGATAAGAAGATCAGATAAGGCAGACCAGATATATAGAAGACTTGAACTGTTTGACCACATAGGAAGGTAGTCCAGAAACTTAGTATTCATTGCTGCATAATTTGATAAAGAAATTTAATCAGAAATTGTAATTGAAATTAGAGTTATATAATATAAGAAACAACCAAATATATTGTATAATAATATTAAAACATAAAAATTTGAAATGTACATAAATATTAATGTATTTTTATATGAATTGAAATGCTTTTGTTTTTTTATTTTTATTTTTATTTTATTTTTTTTTTTTAGATAGTATTTTTTTGTTATTTGTGAAAATAATAGTGCGTCTGCGCACTAAATTGTTAAACAAAAAAAAAAAAAACTTAATGAAAAAAACAAAACAAAAAAACCTAAAATCAATTTGAAATGAATTTTAGATTAACATATTTTAGTGTTAATTAATTTTTTTGTGTTGTTCTTTTTTTTTGCAAAACAAAAACTGAACAAAATTTTAGTTGTTCATGAAAACAGCACTACTAAAAAAGAAAAAAAAAACCCCAACTGTATATATATAAGCTAACATAAGAGCTGAGCTATATTATTATATAATGCCTAACTTACTAGACAAATAAAAATATTGAATATTATATTTGAGCTATATTCACAGCGTAAAAAAATTCGCACATTTTTCAGTGCAATGGCAAATTGTTTGGCAGCCCCATTAAAGATTGTTTACAAAGAGACATCGTTTATATATGTATGTGTTTGTGTATGTATAACATGTATCCATACACACATATTGCTGTTGTTGCTGTTGTTGTTGCTGCTGCTGCTGTTGTTGGCTTTGTGGCTTCTGCAATCTTTGATAAACATTTGGCAAGTGAGTGCGCATTGTTGGCATTGCCATGTCTCTTTGTCCATGTGTGTGTGTGTGTGCGTGTGCATCTGTATCTGTGACTGCATTTTGGTCGCTCTGGTAACGCTCTTAATTGCCACCCCAGAGCTGGGCCACTGGTTGCACAATCGACTCAACTGCAACGAAGTGTGGCTCAGCTCGTACTGTTCGAGCCGCCCTCGCTGGCTATCTTTTCTTTTCTTTTTGCCATTTTATACGATTCTACGCGCTGAGCCATCCGTTTCCGTTTTGTTGATCAACTCAATTAGCTGCCAATTGACGTGTGAGTGCGAGGTGGTGCCGCGGTGGTGCCCAGAGTTAGATGCGTGGTGCTGCTTGTCATTGTCATTGCTGCCGCTGCTGCTGCTGCTGCTGCTGCTGTTGTTGCTGCTGCTGTTGTTGCTTCCGCATCGATGTCTATGCGCGCCTTGACAAGATCAGCATAGACAACGATCAAATGAATGACGCTGTTTGTGGTTATGTAAGCCATTGCGCCTGCATAGAACTGGGGCCAACCGCACATATATTACGTATACGCACATTGCAACAGCTGCTGCTGCTGCTGTTGCTGCTGCTGCTGCGGTGGCGGTGGTTGCAGTGGTGGCATAGTCGGCGCCTCTTATAATTGCAGCTATTCAATGGTCAGTCGGCTGGCTTGGCTTGCCTGGCCGAGCTGCCCGCGCAGGCCGCGCTGGCGTATACGTAATCTGCACAATAAGTGCAGAAAATTATCAGCTGCAGCTAAGCGACCGCCTCGTTTCCAACGTGCTCGTCGTCGTCGTCGTCGGCAGATGTCCATTGCAACATGGATGGCCCAGCTAAGCCAAGCCGAGCCAAGTCAAGCCAAGCCAAACAAAAGCGCGGCTGTTGTCGTTGTTGTTGTTGTGGCTGGGAAATGCAGGAAAATGTGTGCCAAAAGCCAGCGTATAAATGCGAGAGCTCTTGTCGAAAAGAAAATAGTCGACTTGCACCATTTCGCCGCGTCGGTAGCCAACTAGAGAAAAGCCCGCAGACAGCATTAGAGTCATCAACATGTTCACCTGGCGCTTCAAATTGATCCTGCTGCTGGCCCAGACGCTGAGCGGTCAGGCGGGCTACATTGGTGGCGATGTGGCAGCCGGTGTCCATTCCCCCGGACTGCTGGGCAACTATGCGGGCGCCCTGAGTGGCGGCGAGGCATTGGCCAAACTGGATCTGGGATCGGGAGCGAGCGAACTGCATGCGGATCACGAGCAGCTGGGCGAACTGGGCGATCACCTGAGCGAGCACAGCTTTCCGGCGGACTATGGCAACAGCGATGCGGGCGTGGAGTATGCCGAGGCCAGCGAGCTGCATGCGCACTACGAGCCAGAGCTGGAGCACTACGAGCACCATGAGCACCATGCCGAGGAGCCGGTGCCCGGCATTGATCACGGCAAGGGCGCCTTCAGCTACAGCACGCTCTATGAGTTCAAGGATCGGCAGGAGCACGAACACCACCAGCTGCAGCATCAGCTGGAGGAGCAGCACATCCAACAGCAGCAGGAGCTGGAGCATCAGCACCACCTGTTGGAGCACCAGCTGGACTCTCACTAGGTCCCTCCCTCCGATAGTCAACGTTTCTACTAGCTAAATTTTTTTTATTCCCAATACATATACATACATATACATATATATAAGAGAAAGACATGTTTTTTTTTTTTTGTTGCAATAAATCAGCCAAGTTTGTCATGTGATCCGTGGTGCATCGCCTTAGCGTCCATGGGACTGCACATAGTGTGGAAAGTCCAGATTGTCGCTGACTGTGAGTCGCGGCTCGGCAGCTGCAGGCGTGCGCACAGGCAGCAAATCCTCCAGCCTGTAGATGTGCGGCCAGTTGGCAATGGGTCCGGCTGGATGGGATGAGCCACTGTGGCCATTGGCGTTGCCGTTGCCGGGGAGCAGCAAATGCGTTTGCTCATCTGGCGTCAGCTGCAGCACGGCAGAGCTGATGTGGATGATCGGAGTGTAGTCTAAGACGAGAAGAGATGAATTATATATGAAATATATATATATATGTTGGAGCGCTACGAATTTAATTATTGCCCTCCATTATAGTTGCGCCTAATAACGAGTTCCCGGTGTAGCTTCACTCGTTTGTAAAGCTCTTTCTTGTCTATGACCAAGTCTGTTTTCTCTTCTCCTGTCAAAACATCTAGTTCTGGTCGCATATTCTAGTTCATCGAAAGCATAGCGACCCTGTGCGACACTACTAGCCGTCTCGCTCTCACCCAGCGACAGCCGGGAGCACGTTCAGCAAGAGCTATAGTTATCTCTCTCCTAGCGTCAATACCTCCTTTAATTACCACAACAATACTAAGTCAATCGATTAATCGAATTGCCAGCGTAATATCGCACTGATACGGCATATAAGTAAATTATAATCCTAGATATATTCACCGTTTTCCATGCGATGTCCATCGCTGCTTAGCTGGTGGTGGTGGTGGTGCTGCTGCTGTTGTTGTTGTTTCTGGTGGGGCCAAGCTTCGACAGCCGCCAGCACTAGCGCCAGCAATTGCATCAAGTATACGCCTCGTGTGCACATTGTGTCTTAGGCCAACTGCCAGCGACAGCACACAATGTTGGGTAATTTATATGCTCGGCCAGCGGATGTCTCGCGTCTTGGCTGAACGGCTATTGGGGTCCCGGCGTTGACACTTTTCAACTGCACAGCGTTGATCAGCTATCAACGAGCGTGTCAAGTGCAGATAAGAATTTACAACTAGCTGCGCCAATAAGTCACCATAATTGCCCAGTTTGAGGGAATAGTTTGCAAAATGCGGGAGAAGTTTGAAGAGATATGAAAAGAGACATACTGAAGTTTATTTTGTATTGCTATTGCATAGATAGCGGAGCATATTCGAGATTTATAGATTTATTCAATCATTCATTCAGATATTCCTTAGTGATCTATGCCGCGCTCAGATGAGGGAGGTGAAGCGACAGATGTTAAGCTAATAATCATCGCTTCGTTTTCTCTCCCTTTCTCAGGACCATCTCTAGCGGGCTGCTGCCTGAAAATTACCTTCCGTTTTTCAGGTCCTACTCAAATTTAGACTCAAGTAGGCTTCGATTTGACTGTCAAACTCACTTCGATTTGCGCAAAGAGAATTGCAGTTAGTATCGTTCCAAGCTCGAATCTTACGCGCATAAAATATACATCAAAGAAAAAAACGTGTCCCATATATAGATCAACTCCTATCGAGATATAAGAAATGGAGGAAACTTACAGCAAAAGTAACTAAAACCAAAACAAACCAAAAATTCTATATACCGAATGCTTAATAAAATTTAACAAAATTTAATCTAGCTCCTGATATGGATATATCCGAGACCAATATATTACAAGAAACTTTACGCAAGCGGAGGATAACAATTGACCAGGGTCCTCCCGTTTCCAATAAGAGGTCAAAGAAGGAGTCTGAAAGCATACCCTCACACATTCTCATGTACATGAATTGGATGCTTTCCGGCAGAGGCCCGTTCAAGGCAATCGACTCAAAATAACTACTGAGGCCTATGGATTAAGTTATTTTAATAAAAGGCTACCGTTCCTAATGGATGTTTAGCATAAAATATGGAATATCCTTATATATGTAATGCAATATGCAATATGTAGTAAATACCCTACATTATCGAGGCTTTCATAATATATCATATATTCCTAATATCATATCTTCCTAATGGATTCTATCATCATCATGTAGATAATATAAATTTAGTTGGTAATGTGGGACTCTAGAGATTAAATAACTTTTCTGTCCTCTTTATATAACTGTCTATATATACAAATCAATTTTTTATTACTGTCAATTCTATTTCCATTCATCTCGTAATATTACAAATTCTGATTTATGATCAAATATTTCCTATAAGTCCACGTCCGCCTCAGTGCGAGCGATTGATTAGCATTCGCGCTTGATTACATTTAGCAGTTAGGTGATAAAATTTCTAATGTGTACATATATGCACACATCTACATATGTCTATTTATGTAGAACACCTCGAGCCCAGCCCAAAACTCTAACAAACTAAACAGAAATGCTTAAACTAAAAAATTCCCAAAAAAAAAAAAAAAAAAATCGAGAAAAAAAGAAGCAAATTAAAATACAACGACTGCTATTCACATTCTCGATTACATAAGCATATAAGGTCAAAACAATTTGCGGCTATTCGGATTTGGGGATATTGCACAATGAGCTGACTTTTATTCTCGATTTATACTATTTATTTACACACAGTTGAGAAGACGAGCAATTTGGGAGAACATTTATTCGATAATGTATTTAAAACTAAAAAAAAAAAAAAGAGATTAATAATTTTAAACAGTTGAGTAGGTATAGATCGTGGGCAGTTGGTGTAGCAAGCTCGTGGGGGCGTGAGGGGTAAGGAAGTGCTTAGCAGCCGGACGCCAATTTCTCCCAGATGCCGCCGCTCTTCCAGCCGCCGTTGTTGTAGCTGGCACCACCGTTGCTCCAGCCACTGTTCCAGCCGCTGCCAGCGCCCGCGGGCGGTCCGTAGACTGGGCTGGGCAGGTGGTTGACGCCGCTGTTGGCATCGTCCACAATGACCTTGATGGTCTTCACGTATTGGCGCGACACGGGCTGTGGTGCGGGCACGGGATATGAGACTGGAGCTGGCTGCACGTTCACCACTGGCTGTGGTGCGGGCACGCTGTATGTCACGGGTGCTGGCTGTACGCGCACCACCGGCTGTGGTGCGGGCACGCTGTAAGTCACTGGAGCTGGCTGCACGCGCACCACCGGCTGTGGTGCGGGCACCGAGTAGGTAATCGGAGCGGGCTGTGGTGCCGGAGCGGAATAGGTCACTGGCGCTGGTGCCGGGGCGGAGTAGCTTATGGCTGGCACGGCCTGAGCCACGGCGCTGCTCTGGATGGTCTGCACGGGAGCGGCACTTGCGTAGCTGCTGGAAGAGGCATAGCTGCTGCTGCCGCCATAGCCACCGCCATAACCACCACCATAACCGCCGCCATAGCCACCACCATAACCACCGCCATAACCACCGCCATAACCGCCACTGGAACGAGCATAGCTCTGAGGCTGCTCAATCACTTTGATGACCTTGATGACTTGTTCACCGCCGCCGTAGCCGCCGCCGTAGCCACCACCATAACCACCGCCGTAGCCGCCGCCATAGCCACCGCCATAGCCGCCGCCATAGCCGCCGCCAGAGCTATAGACTGGACGGCTGGGCTGTGTGTAGTAGCCCTGGTTGTATCCGCCGGAGTAGCCGCCGCTGCCATAGCCACCGCCGTAGCCACCACCACCGCCGCCGCCGCCGCCGCCACCGGTAATGGCCTTCAGCAAGGCCAACTTGGCGCCCAGGAAGGCCTGGGCGGGCGCACCGAGCGCCAGCACGGCAACCACAATGCAAACGAAGAGCTTCATCTCTGTCAACTGAACTGGATACGGATATGGATAAGTGCGTGCGCTGCCTGGTCTAGACAAAACTCAACTGATGTTCCCAAATGCCGATACGCACAAATTTATAGGCCATCGCAGCAGCCAGCGTCGACTGCGACACTGTCCCTTGTGTCTGTGTGTGTGCGTGTGCGTGTGCGTGTGTGGTTCTAATAATACAAATCTTATGCTTTAAGCTGGACCCGATCGACAGCAGCAGCAACAGCTACAGCAGCAGCCGCAGCAGCAGCAGCAGCGACACTTTGGAGCTCATCAAGCTGTTTGCTTAATTCATAAATAGTTACTTATGGGCCACACCGCAATGCCAAAAACTAAGGCGCGTCCCAACAGCCAGTCGATTGTCCAACTATCCAGACAGTCAGCCATCCATCCATCCGTACAGATAGCTTTTTAGCTAGCTATGCATTTGTGTGCGTGTGCGTGTGCGTGTGTGTGTGTGTGCGTGTATTTGGCTAGCTATTCAACGATCTGTCGCCCTGTCGCCTCGTTGTGTGTCTGTCAAGTCTACTACTTAACCATAAACTGAGATATTTTCTCACCTCTCTGGGCAAATAACACTTGCGTTTGCTGTCAGCCGTCAAAACGATTCGCAAGAAGCGCAGGTAATTCCCAAAATGTCATTACACTGCAAGAAACAGTTGATCGCATTATATACATTTACATATATCAAAGTCTGACGGCCACAATTCTCACTTATTTCCACAAGACTAAAATTATGCTGAATAAAAAAATAAACACAATTTACTTTTATTGAACTTTTTTTTATTTAATTTTTTTTTTTTTTAATTTAACATTATACAATTTTTTACATGTAAGCCATTTAGTAAAATATTTATTTTGTATATATTCTTTTATTTTTAATTTTATATATTTAAGAAAGAAAACATATCAAACGAAAATTCTCCAAAAATTCTTAAGCATTTGCCCAATAATCTTCTCTAATTTTCTCAGCACAATTTGGGTTATATATAAAAAAAAAAAAAAAAAAAAAAAAAAAAAAAATATTTTATTTATAATATGCTGAATAATAAAAAAATAAATACTTCACAATTTTTGTTAATTGTAATTTTATTTAAATATATTAAGACATATTAGATAGTTTGTTTAATATTTAAAAGCCAATCTTGATTTAAATATATTGTAAATAATTTCAAAACCAAAATTCGCACAAAATTCCTATCCATGGGGCCCACCGTTTGTCCATATGCAGGGAGAAACCCAATTAAGATTTTTATTTATTTAATATTTAGTTTCTTTTTTGTTGGAGTGTATGGCTCGATCTTAGGTTCTTGATGAAGATTGATAACTTTTAATTAATGTTAAATATGTTAAAAGGCTTTTGAAACTTTAAAACTTTCTATTGCTGCTTTTCTTATTTACTTTGTGCTTACTTAACTTATTTTTGCAATTATTTTCAACTTGTTTTTCTTATTTAATTTTCTGTGTTTTTTGCTGTTTTTGGTTTTTAGCCATAGTCAAAATTTTTATAATTCGTAATAAAAATTGACTTGGTTTTTATGAAGGGTATAAAACTCTTGTTTGCATTTCACGCTCGATTAGGCTCTTCCCTTGGCAATATAAATATCTATGTGTGTATATAGTATGCGTATATGTGTATATTTTTTCTCAGTGTCAACACACTCGCACATCACCCATTGTTTGTATGTATTTGGGAGCTGCGACCCTAGCGCCCATTGTCGCTCATTCAGGCTAGATCTTGTGCATGGCTACACGTAGCCGACGGCTTTGGCCTCAGCTCCCGCTGCGGCTCGATGTGCTAACCGAGCGAGCAAAATGCTGTGCAAACAGATTCCAGCATTCAGCTTAGGCTTAGGTCGCGTCTAAAGCGTAAACCACGTCCGCTGCCCAAAGGGCGCGTATCGCTGCCATTTTTAGGGGCCCACGTCTAACAGCCATTAGTAATACCCGTTTGGATTTTTGGCCCAAACGTGTATGCAAATTGATTCGCATATCAATTTACAAAGTTTACACCAGATGCCGCTGGTCTTTATGGCAGACGCGCCAAAATATTCACAGGTTCTCAAACAAGCTCTAGTAATATCGCATCTGATAGTCTAGTTATATTTATAGTTGAGCTGGTAAATATAGCTGAATAGGTCGTAGACATGGCTCGTTGCTTTATCAAACAATTGTTGAGCCGTCAGATCGTACTTGGCCTAGACATGAGAATAAACATTCAATTGCCCTACCCGGTTCTTACGATATATGTGTGTGTGTACATAATCTCTTATGTATGAATCTATGTATACTCTATACTTAGAAAAAACATAGGCTTCGTTGGCATTAGCTCCATCCAAGTCTTAAATGATATCGTAATTGAAGCCAGATCGTTATCATGCGATCAATATGAGTTCAATCGAAAACCTATGAGCCGATCTTAAGAGACTAGCCGAAACTCAAAAGCCAATGACCCAGACAAAACTGTGACAAATCGTTCAGCAAGAAAAAACTATGTATGTAAAGCTTAGAATTAGTCCAAAAAATATATATGTATGTAAAATATAATATATGAGCTCAGACTAGCTTCAACAAGATTTTTGTCTCGTTTTGCAGCCACTTCTAGGCTTATGAACAACAAAACCCCTATACGAGCGAGTAAAGTGCGAATGCTGCAAAATTTTGGAAAGAAAACGGAAATAAATAACCAAAATTAATTATGTTTTTTTTTTTTTTAAAGAAATATATTTATTTACAGCTTAGCGCACCGCTACCTTATTGATAACTTAATCTAAACAGAATTACAATAATTTATCTACTTAAAAGCTATATTAATATTAATATTATATATGGAGATATTTATGGTTATTTATGTATATATATTTCTGACAAATTTGGAAATGTTAAGTTAAATTTAATATTTATTTTTAAAAATTTTCTGTCTATCACGAAATTTTATTGTTCGATATTTGGAGTCTGTCTCGCTGCTATTTTCCTGAGCACGGCTGGATTACATAAATCACGCTTGGATAGATGAATAGATGAGCTGCCTGAGGCATATATGTAGCTGTTCTTTATCTCTCTATATAGACAAAAGAAAGCTCGCCCTGCGCCGTTGCATATAAATTACTTCAACTATTTAAAAGTGTTTGCTTGTTGTTCGACTTGTGATTTTTTTCTTTTTCTCTCTTCTTTCTTTATTTTTGGATTTATTTTCTGTTTTTTTGAACTTGGCAAATATGAAATCATAGCCAATTTACACATTGGCCAGACTTCGAGCTTTTGTAACCAAGTGGCGTGCCATCACCGTATTCTTGGGCCACTGTTTGGCTTGAAGTTTGGGTTTGGCCCTGCTCGTTTGGCACTTCATTACCATTTGTGACTGCGGCGAGCTAAGTGGATCTGTCCACACGGATTGCGAGGCAGTGCAACGGCCGGGCTACCGTGGGCCCAGCTACTCTCAATTTCAATTTCAATTTCGTTTCCCTGCCCAGAGCAATTTGAAGGTCAACGCACATCTTCTCGTGCGGCTCGTTAGGCAATTGTTGGCCCACGAATTTGGTAATCGACAAATTACGAAACTCAATTGCACAAATGCCCGAAAATTCATGATCATTACAGATACAATACAAGCTGAGCTTAGAGCTAGAGAGAGAGAAAGAAAGAGAGATTTTGCTTTAGATAATTCCTTTTAGATTTCCAATTAAACAATTTATTTATTCATAATTTACGTTTTATTTAGTTAAAGTTTACAAAAAAAAAAAAAAAAGGGGGGACATTTATTTAGGAATATTCGTAAGTGTTATATGTATAAACAAGTCGCTTTCAGTTGTTACAGTAATCACCGCCTAGCACCAACCGCCACCGCCCAGAGCGGCGGGCGCGCCGAAGCCAAGCCCAAAGCCGCCGCCGACGCCGTAGCCATTGCCAATGCCATATGAAATGGGCAGCGCTGCACCACCTGCGTAGCCACCATAGCCGCCATAGCCGCCACCAATGGCGCCTCCATAGCCACCGCCAATGCCGCCGGCTATAACAGGTGTTGCCACCGACGTCACCACGGGCGTGACAACGGCCGATGTGGATATGGCCGGAGCGGCGCCGACGAAGCCACCGCTGGCATAGCCGCCTCCATAGCCACCGCCATAGCCGCCGCCATATCCTCCGCTGGGCAGCACCGACACCTTGATCACCTTGACTATGTTCTCGTTGCCGTAGCCATAGCCGCCGCCGTAGCCGCCGCCGTAGCCACCGCCATAGCCGCCGCCGTAGCCACCACCATATGGATAGGCTGCGCCATAGCCGCCGCCAGTGCCGCCCACCACCAGGCCCAGCTTGCCAAAGGTGGCCTCGCCAGGTGCTGCCAGAGCCAGCAGCAGCAGAGCGGGCAATGCTAGAGCACAGATCTTCATGTTGATGAGTTGGGCCTGGGCTTATCTATCCACAAACTGTTTTCCTTGGTGCTTAAGTTTCTCGGCTATTCTTGTTGGCAGCTGCTATTCAATCCGTGCTCTCGACCGGACACCTTGTGCTGTCTGACTGTTGAACTTTGTTGACCGCCAGCGGGCATTTATAGTCGAGTGCGGACAATGGCTGGCGATTGTTGTGGCACCCCGGTTGCCCGGTTGCCCGGTTGCCCTATGGCGGGCATTGGTCAAACGTGTGAATTGCGCGAATGAGCAACCAACTAACCAGGTAGACCTCCGCACGAAACGCTGCAAATATGTCAAAGTCTATTTGCTTAGCTCTGGTTAACTGCTGCGCGGTGATCACCCTTAGAACCCACAAAAGAAACCCAACAATATCCGGAATACGAAAAGCCACAAAATTACCTGTGAATTGTCTCATCTATTTTTTTTATCGGGCAAAGGGGAAGGCGTGGAGGGCGGGAGTGTAGAATGTGACCATTGTAATTGCTAATGGGCGTTAAGGTGAAATTAACACTTTCGCTTTCAATAGCCGCCTGCATAATGTGATCTAATCAGCAGCGATCATCTGGGCACACACGAATCACATTTGTTTGGCTTGCCACAGCTGCGCGTCGTTGACAATGCGAGTGTATGCACCGCTGCCCAGTATCTATATAAAGTGGCTCATTGTTATCCAATCTGCTCGGCTCACTGAGGCAAACATCAGCTCTTATTTGTGGCGAGAAAAGCTCTCATCCAGTGGGAATCGCTCGCCACGACTCGGTCCAATCAGAATGTAAGTTGGAATTTCCCTCCCAGTTTTACTTGCCTTCTGATTGGGCAGCATTTTATTTCCATCTCTCTTTGTGACTAGGAATACTAGCAATGCTTGAATCTTCAATATAAGAAGATCATTTATTATTACTTCGAATTTCCATTCCTAGATTTACTTTGGCGCTTGGGCTGACCTATATTTCTATAGTCCAATCAGAAAATGAATTGAATCTCTCAATGGGGCTGTCTTTCTCTCGCTCTCCCAGTTTGTGTTAATCTCCCTTTCACTCTCATTTTGTGTCTCCTTCTTACTGTCTTTTGTCTTGTCTTTTGTCTTGTCTTTTGTCTCTCTCTCCCTCTTTCACGCACTCTCTTTTATTCTCTTCTTTTCCCGATCTCTCTCTACCTGCCCTCTCTCCTTTCTCTCGTTCTCTTCCTATCTCAGAATATCCCTTTCCCTTCTTTTTGTCGCCTTCTCTTTGTCTCTTGATGTCTCATTTTTCCCATGCTCATTCTTATTGTCCTCCTATTCCTCTTCCTTCTCCTATTTCTCGTTGAATTTCTCTTACTCCTTTTAATTTTTTCGTCTTTTTAAACTCTCTATCTTTCTCGTTATCATTCTCTTTCTCCCTAATTCCTTTTTCAGCCTCAACCCAAGGACAACTTCGATTGTTTCAATCTAGTTCATTTAGCATTTACACAAATAGCAGGCTGTACATTTATTTAGGAGGAAAGCGATAATTCGGCTTAGTTGACTAAATATTCTAGATATTCCATAAAATTTTCCCATAGAGCACAGGCTCTATTAAGAATATTAACAGTAAAAATTCTCAGTATTAAAGTAGATAACCGTCTAGCGCTATTCTGGACCCGTTCAGTGAGCACAAAATTCCAAATTGTATGTAACCTTGTTGTTGGCCTTGCAGTTACCAGAATGAAAAGTCGACTCAAGAAAAAGAAGAGCAGCAGCTGCATCAAAGACGTGAAGCCAAGCTTGAGCAAATGCAGCAGCAAGACGGATCTGCCATTGCCGATACAGATCTTCGGCCTGGTGTCCAGGGAGAAGCCCTGGCCGCGCAAAGAACGCCAGTGCATCTACTACAGCACTGACTGCGATAAGGCGGCGCTGATCAACAACTTCAAGAAGAGGGACTGGCACAGGGTGCCCGCCTTCGACGGCGAGTGGAACGTGTACTGGGCGTGCGCGCAGAACTGTCGTTACATCTTTGGGGTCGATCATCCCTATCGCATGCGATCCGATCAGTAAGTATATCATCTATATAGAGAGGTACAGAAACAGAGAGATAAACACATATAGATAGAGTTATATATATGATCTAGTTATAGTAAGAGATTTCGATATAGGATCTAATACTTTTGCAGAATTATCAATCATTTCCCCAACTCTATGGAGCTGTCGCGAAAGGATCTGTTGGTAAAGAACATTAAACGTTATCGCAAGGACTTGGAGCGCAAGGGAGACGCATTGGCCGCCACTTTTCCGAATGATACGAAATTGGGTTTGGGTGGCACACGCTATATGCACCTGGATATAATACCGATGACATTTGTACTGCCCGCCGATTACAATTTGTTCGTCGAGCAATTCAATAAGAATCCGGCGTGCACGTGGATTGTGAAGCCATCCGATAAGTCACAAGGTGTTGGCATCTATCTGGTCAACAAACTGTCCCAGCTCAAGCGGTTCGCCTATGAGGCTCGCACATTCTATCCCCACTTTCATCGCGACACCTGCGTCATCTCGCGGTACATTGACGATCCATTACTCATTGGTGGCAAAAAGTTTGATCTGCGGCTGTACGTGCTGGTCACTTCATTCAATCCGATGAAGGCCTATCTGTATAACGAGGGTTTCTGTCGCTTCTGTACCCAGAGATACGATCATACCGAGATCGATAATGTGTTCATGCATCTCACGAATGTTAGCATACAAAAGAATAATGTAGGTCACATTATCATCTCTGTCATTATCCCCATCCTCATTCTCATCCTCATCGACATTCTGCAGAAGGAATACAATGCGACACATGGCGGTAAATGGTCCTTGCAGAATCTCTGGCTCTATTTGGACAGCATACGTGGCGAGGGTATATCGAAGAAAGTATCTGCCCGCATATTGGAGACGATACGACATTCTCTGGACGCTGTTGCCCCGGTGATGGCCAATGATCGTCATTGCTTTGAGGTGTATGGCTATGATATTATTATCGATAACAGTCTGAAGCCGTGGCTTATCGAGATCAATACATCGCCATCCATTCACTCGACCACCAAGAACGATTGCATACTGAAGACGCGCCTAATCGACAATGTCCTGAATGTGGTCATACCACCCGGTGGAATGCCCGAGTGAGTACATGGATAGCCATGCCAAAGAGCTATACCCTATACAGTTTCCTTCCCGTATTGTCAACAGTGAACGCTGGCCCAAAACGCCCAGCCCAGAGTGCCTAAAGAACTTTACTCTGATAGCACCCGTTGAGCTGCCAAAGACACCGAATCAATCCCGATTGCCCACCTCATCAGCTGGCGTTGGTGACGGCGGAAAAATTTGTCGCAATAAAAATGCAGCGAAGCCAAAGAATACGGGTAACCGACTGGCGGGCGGTGCACTACCCTCTAATATGCCCTCCACGGTGCCATCCAAGCTGCTGTTGCCCTCGGGAACAGCGGCCGTAATGCGATCCACGTCGAAGAAGACAGGCCAGAAGTCCAAGTCGAAGCCAAAGACAACGACGAAGCGCAGCGCCACTGGAGCTGCGCCATCAAAGCTCGCGTCCAAATAATTAATCACTTGGGTGATCAATAGCGGTATTTGACAGTTCCGTTACAGTTGCGCGGTACGGCAGGCGAAGTGCAACAGAGTGAGTGAGTGCTCCAACTGTTCCCATTCTCTCGTCACGCTCGCTTTATGTTAATCAATATCATTTCAGTGGCAATTCAGCAATCAAATTATCCCAAGACGCATATTTTATGGTACTATTTTTTTTTAATGCACATTTTGAAGTTTTATGATTGCTGTATGTCGGTAGTAGTCCCGTAATTCTATTCGATTCATTCTGAAATCGTTGGGATGTAACTAATAAATACTGTAAAACTTCTTTGGTAGAGCCTGCTTAGCTAGGAAATGCCCGGAACTACGCGAGGAGCCAAAATATATTAATTGCAGCAAACCCTACAGAAAATTGGACGTTTCCATATTTTGGATAACCAAGTTCAAGTATTCTTTTCGACAATCGTAAAATATTGAATGGGTATCGAAACGTCTTCAAAGTAAATTTCTACTTTGTAGCTTTACAAAACATCCCCGTTCATGCAGAGGGGCAAACAGACCGAGAGAAATGCGTCGGACGGACAGACGTACGAATGAATACACATATGAACGATCGACAAATATACCAACAGACCATATATCGACTTTGTTCGACGTTTGTACAAGAATATATCCTGCCACGCCTCATTCTGCCTGCTACATACATTCTTACAAAACCGTTATATCCCGAGTTCCTAGTTTCAATGGGCTCAAGGTAGGTGAATCTAGTTAAGAGTAACGAAATTTCATTTGGGGAAATCATAGCTAAGATGTTCGGGCATCTCTTAGAGGCTTTACTATTCTATTCTATTCTATTCTACTATTACTTATTCTACATAGAAGTTGTAATAATTGTCCAAGTCGTATAATATCTTGACTTCTATGACTCAAAAATAAAACACGCACTTACTTATATTGATATATAGAAACTTAAATATTTAATTCGCAACAGAATTTTGCAATATACACAAAATACACAAATATTACAATATGTAGCGTAATGTGTATGGTTTCTATATGAATGCGCTCTCTAATACGAAGTTCTATGGATGCCACGATGGGGCATCTCTAAGCTGCACAATAATTGCTTTGCTAATTGCTAATACATATGTTAATTAAGTATTATATTTATAAGTACTTTTGTATAATTGTAGCTTACGCAAAGATAATATTTATATTTATATTTATATTAAAAAAAAAAAAAAATTGTTGGGACTCTTAAGTTTCACTTCACATCTTTATCTTTTTTTCTCTTGCATGGCGTCTGCTTTAAAGCTAAACGAAAAAAATTAATATATATACATATATCTTTATATGTATATATGTCTAAGAATGTATGTATGTATATATGTCAGTTACATATTTACAGCATGATTTTGGCTTGGTTGAAGCGCCTAATACAATTTCAAGTATTTTTAATTTTTTTTTTTTTGTTTCTTGTTTTCGTTTTGTTTACAATAAATGTTAGCATAATTTAGGGAATATTTTAAGCAATGTTTATGATGTTTTTGCGACTCGATAGCAGCTTACATAAATAGATATTCTATGAAATGATATATGTATGCGTTCGTTCTTTAAGTTTCAGTTACCTCAGCCTTCGTTCTTTCGTTTCGCTGCGGCACACACAATTCGAACTTTTATTTAATTATTATTTACACGGTCTTTGACTTTCGATTAATACAATAAATGTCTTAGCTTAATTATAGCGCAATGCATTGGTAAATCTTCGCAGATCGATATCTAATATATATATATATATATATTTAAATATTTTCGTATAGGAAGCAGCATTTACAGTTGCTCTCTTCCTTTCTCTTTTCACATAGAATACTTTCATTGTATAATATAATTTTAATGAGCTTAACTATGCATGTGTGTGTGTGTGTGTGTTGGGGTATATCTGGCCCCTTTTGTCAAATAATGAAAATATATATATATATATATATGTATTTATATATTAATTATATATGTATTTAAAAAAAAAAAAAGAATTTAAACTGCTTTCCAGTTGATTGCTTGCTTTGCCGGCCGCTGGCGACTCGCACACTGCGACCTGTCTGTCTCCTCCTATCTGCCTGGCTGTCCGTCAGTCAGCACTCGGTGGCATAGTAGAAGACCTCCACCTCGCTCAGCTCCGCGTGCTGGCTGGGCTGGTGGCCCTCCACGAGGACGTCGCGTGTGGCGCGCGCATGCGCCAGCACCTATAGTCACACCTTCGACGCATGCGGCTGGGCGCCGGCAGCGCTGCCGTATTGCGACTGCGACTTTTGCACGGTCTGGTAGGTGGGTTGCTGCGACTGCGACGGTGACTGTGTCTGCGCCTGCTGCATGCCGGTCTGCTCCCGAATGGTCACCTGGGTGACGAAAGGTCCGCGACTCCGTGCGCTGCTGTTCAACGATGCCGGCGAGTAGCCGTTGAGCGCCGCGGCCTTCCAGTGGGGCTGCGCCACATTCACGCTGATGGGCGAGGACGTCGCATTGGCGCCGTTGTGGTGCCCGCTATGATTGTGGCCATGGCCATGGCCATGGCCATGGCCATGGCCATGGCTGTGACTGTGGCTGTGGCTGTGCTTGATGCTGCCCACGCGCTGCTGCTGCACCGTGTCGTACTCGTAGTAGCTGCTCATTGGCCGCATGCCGTTCGACTGCTGATGGCCAGCGGCAACGGCGGCCGCCGACGGGGGCAGCGGCAACGGTGGCTGCTGGCTGGAATTGGAGTGCATGCTGATGTCCTGGGAGCGGGCGCTGCGCTGCGAATGGTAATGCTGATGGCGGCGACTGCAAAAGCGCAAAAAGCAAAGTTCGCATATAATACAAATGGGGAAATGAGTTTGGCATATATGAGTGTGTGTGTGTGTGTGTGTGACATATATACTAAGCCAAACCATAGCTGTGTGTTAGTATGTGTGTGTGTGTGTGTTTGTGTTACCGTTACCTTTCGGCCTCAACCTTGATGCGCTGCCTGATCACCTGCTGTCGCATGCACTCGAGCGTCGACTCCGAGAGCGTCTCTTGAACGCTGTCGCTGTCGTGTGTCCAGTGTTGGTTAATGCATTAATTATAGGGTATGAGCATGTGGTAGGACGATGCGATGGGTTCGCGTTGTCGTGTGTGAGTGATCGTGTAGTGATGTGTATGAACAGTATGAACAGGAGAGAGAGAGACATACATATATGGCACATGGCACATGACACAGTGTGCACAGAGTAGAAAGAGAAAGAGAGGGCGAGACATGAAACAGAGCGACGGGTTAATAACAATACACATACATATACACATCGAACAGTGCTAAACACATAAATAGAGACAATTTTGAGTGAAATATATATAAATCGAATCGAATTGAATTGAATAGAGTTTACATTTTAGGTAAAGCCTAAGAAAACCTTAGTGAACATTTAAGCGAGTTGCTTCTAAAGCTAGTCAGCGGACACTGAATTTAGTTATAAAATAATAATAATTGTTTATAATATATATATCACTGCGTACGTTGAATTTAGTCTTATATGGATAACAATTTAATCAAAAATTTTAATTTTCTAACATTCCCAGATTTACTAAAATTATCTAGAATACCTTCAATATGCGGATATTAAATATATATATTTTTATAAATCATAATACAGTAGAATCCGATTATAGCGAGGCTCAGGGGGCCGTCGTTTTACCCGAAAGATCCGGCAACCAGAATTATCATCATAATAACCTTACGGATGCTATAAGCGTAGTAGTTCTGATTGGATTCTACTGTATTTTCCGGCGTTATAATAAAAATCAGATAATCACTCAACATACTTTTAAGACTTCATTCCAAGATTACTATAAATTTCATCTAGAAATTAAAAATTTGTTTAATAATTTGTTAAATTCAAATAAAATCCTATGTAAAATTTTATTCTCAACTGCACAGACATAAAATAAGTCTAACCTCTGCATAAAGAGAAATAAGCTAGCTTTAAGCTAAATGTAGTAATTTGAAAATAAATCATATATTGAATTGAATAACAATAAATTGCTCAAAGTCGTTTACCGAAAATGACTTACAAAAATCTTCAGTAAATGCCATCTAATAACTCTATATACATATCTACAATTCAGAACTACTATATAACCCTATTGTATACAATGTTCAACAGTAAATAAGATTTCCAAGTACTCAGATACAGCTGAAGAATCGAATTTGAATATAGTTCTATGAACCCATGTTTACTCAACAGTTGCCATACTATATAGATAAGTATATCTGATTATACCTGAAGCATTATACCTGAATATGCAACTCGATATCACGATTTTTACATATTTCATCACAGAGACAGTTAGTTAGAGCCAACACCACTTTATACATATAGACCCAATGAGAAGTGAGGTAGATGCAAGCAAGCCCCAAGCCCAGCTCACCTAATCTGATGCTGGTGCAGGTCTTCATAGTTCGCGTAATGCTGATAGCGATGATTGAATATGTCATTCTGGTGTATGCCACCATTCAGTGTGGCAGCAGCTGAGTCGCGCCCGGGCCCCACTGCACCGCCGCCACCCGCTGCATTGGGTGCGGGCAGTGGTGGCGGTGGCTGATACGCTGGCGGCTTGCCATTGCGTTCCAGTGCAGCAAGCGCTGCTGCTGGTATCTGCTGCTGCTGCAATTGATGCTGCTGCTGCTGCTGCAATTGATGCTGCTGGTGCTGCTGCTGCGACTGGCCATTCATGGGCTGCGACGAGGAGCCCATTGCAGACGTGGCATATGTGTCGACGGGCACAACGCCATCCTTGCGATTCTTGCCGAAGCGGAACATGTGCCCGATGCCCCGCAGGATGCTCGGCTTCTTGGCGCGCGACTTGCTGCCGTGCTTGCCATCGTTGAGCGAGCTCTGGAACGGCCCGTTGCGCTGCGAGGCAAAGCCGCCCTCGTGATCGCCCTCCTCCAGCAGCCAGGTCTTGCGCGGTTCTGAAAGCAATTGGAAGAGAACAATCCGTTAGTCAATTCTGGCTGGATGAGAGCTGCGATTGCGACTGCTCACTGTTTGCATCCGGTTCGCTGACGACGGCGGCGCGCAGGCTGTCCTCACGTCCGCGTCCGCGTGGCGCACGCAGCGCATGATGGGAGCGCGGCTCATCCGACATTTGCAGCTCCTGCACCATCGTCTGCAGCGACTCCAGCGACGACGACTTCTTCAGCCCTAGAGATGGGCCCAGATCGCCCAGCTGATCGCGCGCCTCGGCCTCGGCGGCCAGCAGCAGCTGCTGCTGCTGCTCCCGCTGCTCGATGTGGGAGCTGGTCTTGGCGTGCTTATAGCCAGCCGCTGCTGCCGCCATTTGGGCATTGGCGCTGGCTATGCGCGCCGTCAGCGACTCAATGGAGCCTCCATAGACAGCCGATTTGGTTAGCTGAATGCGACGTTCCCGCTCGCGCTCCTCGCGCAGCTTCTTGTTGCGCTGATAGGTGCCCGTTTCGCGTGCATCCAGCGCCGCATGATGCTTCTCGGAGATGCTGCGTCGGCCGAGCGCATCGCGCGAAAAGTGCTCCACCCCGGAATTGTTCGTCTCCAGGCTCAGCTGCGACGAATACGTGGCATCGAAATTGCCAGCCACGCCTGTCGCGGCCACGCCGCTCGTCTGTCCCATCCCGACGCTCGTCTGCGATGTGTTGGCGCTGCTCGTGTTGCAGTGCTGGCCATCGTGTGTGCGCACCGGCAGCGTGCTGCAAGCAAACAAAACACAAGAGTTGAGAGAAGCAGGGGGAGAGGGTGAGGGAAAGCAAGGGCTGACTACTTACGGTGACATGGGCTCCGCATCGTCCTCAATGAGCAGCGCCGTGTTGCCATGCCCATTGAGCAGCTGCAGGGGCGCCGGCGACCAGCTGTCATTGGTGGCCATGTAGTAGCTCTCGTTGCGCAAGGCGCCGCTGTTGCCGCCCAGGGGAGGAGGCGGCACGCGACGCTGCTGCGACTGCGATTGCTGCTGCTGTTGCTGATGTTGTTGTTGTTGCTGCTGCTGCTGTTGCTGCTGTGTTGGCTGTGTTGAATTCGCGGAGCAAATGCCACCGGTTAGACGATCCAAAACGGGATTGCTCCATCTGTAAAGAGAGAGCGAGAGTGTGAGAGTGAGCGAGTGAGTAAAGTAATTTCCATCGAGACGCACCTATTCATATCGCTGCCAGGTCCGTTGCCGCAGCCGCGCGGCTCACGTTTCTCTGGACTCAGATAGATGACCGTGGCGCCCGAGTTGTCACTGGCATTGGAACTGCTGTTGTTGTTGTTGTTGTTGTTGCTGTTGCTGTTGCTGTTGGCGCCGCTGCTGTTGCTATTGCTATTGCTGTTGCTGTTGCTGTTGCTGTTGCTATTGCTATGGCTATGGCTTTGACTGTGCTCCAATATGTCACTGGAGCTGGCCGAGCGCAAGATTTTGCGTCCGACTAGCAGGGTTATTGTGCCCGGATGCTTGCCCGGATTGTTGACCATGGCACGGCGCAGCGTCTCCATGGCCTCGGCATTGTTCTGGCCGCGCAGCGAGACGCCATTCACACTCAGCAGCTGATCGTTCATGCGCAGACGGCCGTCGCGCGATGCGGCCCCGCCATGGATCACGTTCTTCACAAAGATGCCCAGATCGCCGTCGTGTTTCATGTTGCTGCTGCTGTTCGGCGTGGACGCGTTCAAGTTCGAGCTCGTCTTGCCCTTCACGCTGACCCCCAGGCCAGCCTTCTCGGTGTCGTGGACGGGTATGTGGAGCGTCAGCTCCTCCCGCGAATGCCAGCTACTGCTGCTCGGCGGCAGGCTGTCCTGTGGGTGCAAAATAGAGAGAGAGAGAGAGAGGGAGAGAGAGAGAGAGAGAGATAGTGTCAGAAATTGAGATCGATAATTGATAAATACCATTACCATTGAACTAATTCAAACGATTTGCATATAAGCTATTTGTTCTAAAAATGAACTAGTTCTTTTGAATAAGTCATGCCCAAAAATATCTGCAATTTCCCCGATTGGATTCATTTTGGAATACATATAACTTTTATGCTAATAAAAACTCTATCCAAATGAACTAGTTCCACAAAATTAATCGATTTGTTTATAATCTAGTTCCTATTCAAAAAGAGATCTCTCTATAAGCTCTATTTAAACTAATTCCCTCTGCTTCCCATCTAGCTCTAGCTTTATTTCATAATTTTATACTAAATAAAACTATTCAAATGAACTAGTTCTACAAAAATAATGATTTTGTTTTATAATCTTATTTTCTTTCAAGAAGAGATTCCTCTACAAGCTCTATTTAAACTTATTCCCTCTACTTCCCATCTAGCTCTAGCTTTATTTCATAATTTTATACTAAATAAAACTATCCAAATGAACCTGTTCCACAAAAATAATGAATTTGTTTTATAACCTTATTTTCTTTCAAGAGATTCCTCTACATGCTCTATTTAAACTAATTCCCTCTACTTCCCATCTAGCTCTAGCTCCATTTCATAACTCTATCCAAATGAACTAGTTCCACAAAACTAATCATTATATAATGAGATCGCTCAACAAGCTCTATTTAAACTACTTCCCCTCTAGCTCTAGCTCCATTTCCTAGCTCTATCCAAAGGAACTAGTTCCATGCAACTAATGAATTTGTTTGTAATCTAATTCCCTTTCAAAAAGGATTCCCCTATAAGCTCTATTTAAACTAAATCCCTCTAGTTCCATCATCAAGACAAGTTTTCGCAATCTACTATGCTGGAACTAGTTCCATGCGCCACTTACATTGGAAGCCGCCGACTCACTGCCCGCATCAATAAAGTGCTGAGATTCATTGAGCTGCGCCTGCTGCTGCTGCTGCTGTTGCTGGAAGAGCGAGCGAGCGCTGCTCGACTTTTGCACCGGAATCGGAGCTGAAATTGGAGCTGGCGCAGCTGGCACTGGCTTCTCAGCTGGTTCCGGGGGCTGCAAAAGAAAGTGATTGCAATTAAATACGATTCGAAAGTGAGCTAAGCCAATTCAATGCAACTTACGCCAACGGGCATCTCGGCCAGCTCCTGCTGCCGGGAAACGACAATGCGCACTGTGGCGCCTGTGGGCATGCCACGCAGAATGGAGACCACATCCGTCTGGGTCTTGCCGGTCATGGGCGTGCCATCGACCTCGAGCAGGCGATCGCCGGGCTTCAGGCGCCCATCCTCGATGGCAGCGCCGCGCGGCAGGATGTTCTTGATATAGATGGGGCAATGCCCGCCCGCTGGGTTGTCGCGCGTGGTCACCGAGAAGCCCAGGCCGTTGGGGCCCTTCTTCAGCAGTATCTCGATCTTGCGGCCCAGCTTGCGGGTGTTGGCCACCTGCAGCGAGGTGCCCACCGGAGCGGCATGCGGTTTGCGTGTGGGCGACACGGTGGCCACCTCCACCATCTCGGCCACCTTGGAGTCGCGCCGCTGCTGCTGGCGACGATGCTGGTCGCCGCGCAGCACGCGCACGCGCAGCTCGGAGGACTCGAGGGCACGGCGCAGCTGCTCCTGCACCTGGGACTCGCTCAGGCCAATCAGTTTGATGCCATTGATCTCGAGGATGCGATCATCACGACGCAAACGGCCACGCTCCGCCCGGCTGCCGGGCTCCACGTGCTGCACGAGCAGTCCGCCGCCGTGCTCCTTGTCCGGCATGGCCGTCAGGCCCAGCGGACTGCCGTACTCGTTGATAATGAGCAGCATCTCGCCGTCCTTTTCGCGTATGGACTCGTATGCCTGACCCAGGGGCTCCTTGCGCTTGCTTTCGCGCGGCAGCGATTTGCTGGAATAGGCGCTGTTCGGGAGCGACGTGGGCAACGGCTGCGGCTGCTGCTGCAGCTTCTCGGCGGCCTCCATCCACTTGTAGCCGTTGCCATCGCCCAGGAACTGCATGGACAGACGGCCGGAACGAGCGAATGGCTGGTGAGCACCCGCTGCGCCGGCGTGTGGATGCTGTTGCTGCTGCTGCTGCTGCAGCAATTGCTCCTTCAGCTGAGCGGCTGTGTCGTCCTCCTCCTCCCACTGTGGCGACAGCTGTCCGCCGGCCTTGTCCAGCATCAGGCGTTCCGGTGAATCACCGCCCGCATAGTGCGGCGCCGCCGCCGACCAGCGCTTGTTGCTGCCCTCCGCCTTGAGCGAAGCTAGCAGATTGGGATCGCTGCTGCGACGCACCATCAGGCCGACGCCCAGGCCAGCCAGTGGGCCGGACGTGGTGCTGGTCACCTCGATGTGCGGCGTGGACAGATCCCGTGTGGGCGCCTCTGTGTTTGTGGGATCACGAAAGATGTCCGGCGAGCCGGTGCCCACTGAGGAGCTGCCCGAGGCGCCATCGCCTCCGCCCTGCGGCACGCCCGGATCGGGGCCCGAATCCTCGAAATGGGCCAGTATCTGCTCCCGATCATCGGCCACATCGCGCACACAGTCATCGGGATCCAATATGCCCGACTGTGTCTGCAGATGGTGTACGGCTACCCAGGAGTCTGCTTCCTGCAAGCATAAGGGCAAATCAAACGGCATATTAATGGAAATGTTAACGTGAGAAAGAAGGAGCTAGAACAAGCTCAAAACGCTTTTTCATAAATAATTTGCTAGAATTTACAACAAATGTTCAGGTTTCTTGGTTATATGAACTAGTTACAGAGATTGGTTCAATAGAAAATGATTCAAGAACTATGCTGAAGTTCATTTTTGTAAGTCAAGAAATTTACTGGTTCCTATTTCTTAAGTGGTTCTATTTATGTAAGTCTTTTATCATCGAATGCAAAAAACTGTTAGGGATAAAGAACTAGTTCCAAATATTGTTTACTTAATGGTTTTGATTCAACTAATCTATGGTATCCTAACATTGTTATATATGTACATATGTATATCATTTGCCAATGGTTCATTTTCTATATGGAAATGAGCTAGTTCTCAGTAAAGCTTAGCTGGGGCTGGACTAGCGCCAAAAACTGCTATTATTTATTATTAATTATATATCTTATGTTTTCCGTTCTTGAAAGCATTTGAACTATTTGCATAATGAGTCCACTACACATACATACAAACGGTGCCCCTAACTGGCGGCGGCGCGGAAGTTTTGCACAGCCAGCCACAAGGCAAGACACAATCGCAGCCAATCGGAGCCGAAGACGAGCCTGGGAGAGTGCAGCATGCGCTTGCGCTTCCGGGCCACAAAAGACAATTGCCCAATTGGCCATGTGTTGAGTCTCAGTGACGCAGCTCAGGTGGCTCCGATGGCTTAGGCAGCTGCCTGGGAAGCCATTTAGAGAGACTGCGAAGTATAGAGGCGACCTCCAGCCTACCAAAAAGCAAAACGAAAATTGCAGCGGGCCAAACTCTAAAAGCCAATTCCAAGTTGGCGTCATTGTTGCTTGGCATTCCATTGAATACCAAACAACACACAAACACACACACACACACACACACACACACCAAATGCCAAATGCCGAAAAACTGGCCAGCAACAGCAACAGCAATGGCAACGGCAACAGCAACTATGGCAACAACAACAACAATTGCATCACGCCATTAAACCAGTCATGGAAGCAGCAGAGCGTGCGCTTCGCTCCCTGAACTGGAGAACTGGAACGTCAACTTGACGCAACAATTTGGAAGGTTGTTTTCTAGTTTTCGCTCTTTTCATTTGCCGCAAACACAAGGGGGAGGGGGGAAAAGCAAGAGTAAACCGAAAAAGATAAAAACAAATCGTTGTTCTAGTACTTCTTAGATTTATGGGTCAAAGAGCGTGAATTCTATCGATTCTCAAAACAGCGAGAGTAAAAGGCAAAACAAATTGATTTTGTTATTGCTTTGATATTTTGTTGTTGTTTGTCTTTGGCTACGGCAAGCGCACAGTGTGGCTAAACAATTGAATAACTTGGCAAAAACAAGCCCAAGGAATCGAATCAGTATATGCATTTATATAAAAATACGTAAGAATATTGTATTTAAAGAATAATTGACTGCAAACATTTATGATGAACTGATTCATTAACTAAGTTAATAATTAATTTGTACTATGTATTAAAACTTGACTTTGCAAATCAAACAAGGAGTAAACCGAGTCATATTGAAGCCTAAAATTTAATTAATTTTTTCATTAATTAGTTCTCTATGCTAAAAAGTGGGTTCCAAGCGTCAATAATTTAAATTCAACTTTTTTTTTTAATTATTAAAATTTAACTGAAAAAATATAAATAAATTTAAAAAAATAATAATTTAAAAAAAATGAACATATAAAAAAATAAATATATAAAAATACATAAAAATAATAAATATAAATATATAAAAATAATAAATATAAAAATATATAAATAATAAATATAAATATATAAAAATAATAAATATAAATACATAAAAATAATAAATATAAATATATAAAAATAAATATAAATATATAAAAATAATAAATATAAATATATAAAAATAAATATAAACATATAAAAATATATAAATAAGTATACCCCTTTATAATTAAAAAAAAAAAGCAAGGCAACAAAATTAAAAAATTTTAAGTAAAAAAATTTGAAAAAAAAAAAAAAATACAAATCATATACATTTAATAAATAAAGATTAATAAGAATAAACGTAACAAGTATTTAGATTATGTATAAATTAATCAGCTTAAAAAATAACTCATTGGCAATAATATATAGATTTGAATAAACAATAACAAGTAATTTTAAAAATAAATCCAAGTTCTGGATTTATATAGGTATTTATAGAATATTAACTTAAGCCAACAACTTAAGCAAATACAAACAACTTTTTTTAATAATTTAAAATTGTTTAAGATTAATATTAAATTATTTAATTATTAATATGAATATTAAATTACTTAAGATTTATATTTATTATTTTAACATATTATTGAAAATATTTGCCCCACTGTGCATTTGCTTGTTGATTTTGTTTTCTGGCTTTGTTTCATTTTGGTGTTTGTTGACCCTCTTCATAGCCCATTGATTGTTTCATTATGGCCATTTGTCAATGGAAATGATGCGTCGATGGGCAAACAATGGCTATCAGCTATCATAAAATATTTGCATATATTCGTGTGTGTGTGTGTGTGCGGGCGTTTTGTTAAGTGGGCGTGTCTGTCAACATGAACGTGCGACATGCCCAAAACAGTTAAGCTTCAAGTCTTTGCTCACATATTAATTAGTGTGGGTGGGGGAGGGGGAGGGGGTCGAGGGAGAGAGAGAGAGAGACAGAGAGAGTTACCTTGACACAAGCGTAGCTGGGCGACGGCGGCCGCTTGGGCAGCGTCAGGGAGTAGGACTTGTGCAGACTGCCATGGGGTATGCCCTCATGCTTGGCAGCCACCTTGTAGGTGTGGCGCCAGCCAAAGAGCCCGCTCAGTTTGTTAGCCAGCGCTGGACACTTGGGCGGCACGTCGAACATATTCCAATGCTGGATCTTTGATCTTTGATCTTTGGTATTTTCTAGAGTTGTTTTTGTTGTTATTGTAGTTGTTGTAGCACACGTACTTTGTTTAAATATTGTTTATGCTGTTTCGTTGTTAGTTACATTACACATTACAGTTAGCATTTTGAGCTAAAGTCACAGATCGCACTCGCAGCTCGTTCTTCACTCTTGGCAATGCCAATTGGCACGTTGAGGCACATTGCACCCCGTCTCAGAACTCTAAAGATATTGATGTTATTTTATTTTTACTTTGATTAATATCACTCAAGTTACACGCGCTCGCGCTACCGTTCTTATCGATGATGCAATTGCAAATGTGGCAAGCACAGCCACCGCTGCCGCTGCTGCTGCCTTATCGCATGCAATCGGCTTATCAACTGCAGTAGCTGCCATTCGCCTGTCGAGCTTTTATCGGGCAGTCGAACACAGAGAAATTCTTTGCCAGTAAACAATGAAATCTGAGAAATCACTCAAGCACTGATAGCAGGAAAATTACGTTTTTGATTTCATTCACTTACGACCAAATGTTTGGCCAGGCAAAATGTCTAGAGTTTCCAATACGAATTCAAGCCAATTTATTGAGCAAAAGCATTTTCGATTTGTTGATTGAGTTGCCCCGAAACAGAAGACGTAACTCTGGCATTTGTTTACGTTTCACAGAACCAAAAATAACATGCCATCTAGCGAAACTAAACAAACCGACAGACAGCTTCTATTACTTCCCTTACAGGGTATCTGACAAGCATCAGCAGCAGCAGTTGCTCGTAAACAGGATATATTTGAGACTGTTGTCTAGCTTTTCTCTGTTGGCCGCTTTTCCCAGAGCTGTAATGTTTTCTATGAATGCATTTGTCGTCTCACATGCATTTTGCATTAAAATCAAAAAAAAAAATGCGAGAAAACTATTTCTATATACATATACATATATATTTATTTTCTTAGAGCATGTCAAGACATACACACACACACACATACACATACATGTGGAAATCAACTGACAATGGCAGCCGAGGCTGGGCAAACAAGTTGAGCTCAATTCGCACAGAAATTCACATTGATTATGCACTTGCTCAGACACACCTGTAGTAAAGGTGACGTTGACTGACGCACGGCAATAGCTATACCTGTGCTACTAAAACAACAACACCAGCAGCAGAAACAACAACAACAACAACAAGGGACACCCATTTGGTAGCACTGCAAACGCACTCAGGCAGAAAGCTCACAGCTTCTGTAGCTAGGGATTGGGAGCGAGGCGGGGCGTGGCGCTAGCGATTTATTTGCTTACTAGAAATTTTCGACGTAAACAGCAAGTAATGAAAATGTAAAAAAAAAAGCGAGCAAGCAAAAAACATTGCCAATTAAGGTAGTACACACACACACACACACACATGTATAGAAGCGCACAACTGTGTACACACATGCGAAAGGTTTATTCGACCTTTTTTTTTTTTTTGCGTAGAGCTAATAAAGCGAGAAAGCAAACTCGGCTCGGCTCGCCACTTAAATACGCTAATAAACAACTGTAACAATTAGCGAAAATGATCTGAGTCAGAGCTGAACTAGTTTCGGATCGAAGATAAATGATTTCGGCACAGAACTTTGGCCAGTCACTGGGAGCCAAAGGGTTCATTTAACGCAATCTAGATTGTGAAGTTTGCTAGAACTAAATGGACAAATATTACGCATACGCGCCGTGTGAACGTTACGAATCACTTGCGAATTAACGTGCTTGAACGTAACGCATAACAGCGAACGTCAGCAAGTTAACGTTAGCCAGTTGTGTATCGCATATGACGTATAACGTATGGTGAGTAATGTGAGACACGTGCGTTACGTGACGCACATTATCGGCTGTCACGTTACGTAGAATATTAAAGCTAATAGGAAAATATAATGATTTATTTTAGTTGTTGGCAATTGAAGTTCTTGAGGTTCTATAATTAAAAATTGATTATATAAAAAATATATATATATTTATAAGAAATATTTAAAATATATATATATATATATATATATATATTTATTTATTTATAAGAAATATTTAAAATATATATACATCAAATATTTATTTAAAAAATATTTATGTAAAAAATATAATATAAAAAATATAATATAAAAATCTAAGAAAAGTTTGTATAGTGAAAATTAATTTGAATATTCAGCATATGGAGAGAAATGGCCTTAAGCAGCTAAATATTAATGCAAACAATATTGAAGGTAGTGAAATAAATATAAATGTATGTATATATATGTATATCGTACGAGCTTGTAATGTCGACGATAATCTTTCATCTTTCTATTTTTCAAGCATGAATTGCATTCATTTTGATGTCAGATCAAAAGAAAAGTCAGCATAAATTATGATAAATCTAGTTATATACATATATACAAATGTATTTGTATGTGATAAAATATATAAAATTTATCATTTTGAATTTAACAATCAATTTTCATCTATAGAATTATCTATTTAAAAATAAATTCGGTAATTCAAGCAGTTAGAGGATTTTCAATTCATTTTTCGAGTTCATTGGGTATTCATTTCGTTCACTCGACAATTTCATAACAAGAGAATATGGCTTTCGCTGACCATTATATCCTTTTACGATTTCTTGCGCACACATTGAAAATACAAATTGAAAAAACCTCCAACTACGCTCTATGCATAGAAACTGCACAATTACAACAACAACAACAACAACAACAACAACAACAACTACTACTACTACAGTGAACTGCAAATATAAGAAATGGTTTATTATCATAATGAACTGACAATGGACTCGGTGAAGGCAACGCGTTCGCTTGCGCCTCTCCCGCTTTGGGCGGAGTCCAAAAATTAATTAAAAAACGGCAAGCGCTAAAGCCAGAAGAAGAAGAAGAAAAAAATCATCGTAAATTAGCATAAAATGCCATGAAAACTTTTGTGATACGAAAATGGTAAAAAGAGGGAGGGGGGAGGGGGGGAACGAAATAATAAATACAAAATCTGTATACAAAGAAGTGGAGGAAAAACTGCAGGCGGCATGCAACCGACTCTGCGAGCGGAGGCAGCCACGCCCACACCCTTTGGAGCTGAGTACGCGGCCGATTCGATTCATCTGGTGGTCCGTTCCGACGCTCTATCCATAATAATTTGCAATCAGACTTAACTACCCACGACGACAGCGACGACGACGGCGACGTCCAAGCTGGTTAAGAAGAAGAAATCTACAACAACAACAACAACAACAACAAGATCGTCGACGGCCAAGAAATATGCAAGCTAGCAAAAAGAAAGGCCAAATTATATGTTGTCATTATGCAAAAGGGGGCAGGAGAAGTACACATAGAGTGAACAAGAGAGTGAGAGAGAGGGAGGGAGAGAGAGAGGGAGATAGCAATATACATAATGAAGTGTAGCTAAAGGTATGCAACGAGCGCATTTCGCTGTTTGTTGATTCAAATAACGCTATAGTTAGCTACAATCATGGGTGCAAATCGAGCGTCGAGTGTGACTGTGAGTGTGAGTGTGAGTGTGAGTGTGAGTGTGAGTGTGTCTGTCTGAGTCTACTCGTGCGAGTACACGAGGTGCACTCATACACTAAGATTGCCAAGATGGCCAAGGAAACTTAACCGCAAAGCTAACCATTAAAGATCGTTTTAGCATTGGTTATACATCTGCCTTGAACCATCCATCATTATCATTAACAACAATACAATAATCACAAAGAAAGAAAAGCACATTAAAGCTCCTTAATGATGCACCACAAGCAAAATGATCTATAGAGTAAAGTATACGAAATTGTTCTCAATAGTTTCTTATAAGAAATGGGTCTGTCGATTTTCAATAATCCTTGAATCAGTTAGCTTTTGTTAGAGAGCATTTATCTAGTTGAAGCTTTTGTTATAGACCAATTATCTAGTTGTATGCCTACGAAGAAGACAATTGCTTAAATGTTTTCAAATGGATAATGGAGCTATATTTCATCGAGACGTCTCAAGTTTTGTATAGAAAATATTTCTTTTCTGTTTGGAGGGCTTTCACACTGCTCTAAAGTCAGGCTCTTATTTATTTTCAGTATTTCCAAGCCAACTTCCATAATGAAGACTATAAACAAGAAAATTATTTTACACTTTTTCAGAACTCTTAAAACTTTATTTGAAATCAAAGTCCAGAGAGTCTCCATTGGAACAGCCCTCGTATAGGCCACATACTTGCCATGTGAGCGGCCAAGTGAAAGGAACAGCTGCGGGCCACTTGAGCACGGCTTGGCGCACAGCTCTACGCCCAGACACAGCGATGATCACAGTGTGACCAAACTCGCGCAGAGCACAGAGCACAGAGAGGTGTTCAGCTGATTTGCATTCGATTAACGTGTTAGGAAAAATATGTACACAAGTTATTAGCAGACAATTGCTAGAGCGTTCTGTTCTCGAAACTTGAAACATAGGCATGCTGACAAGACATGCTACTGAGGCGTGGTCACGCCCTAAACTACACACATTCATATTGTAGTTGATCACGACCAACAGCTGAGCAGAAGCTAGCTAAAGTGTTTGATAAGCTTATCACAACTTGTAAAGGCCTGCAACGACTTTATCGATAACTTTTTTCGCTTTCACTGAAATCGATAACGAACTCAAGAGTCCCTCAGATGACGCACTCTATTGTCTTGTTATCAGCGTAGCTCTGACCAAACACTGCAAGACAATATGTTTTCTATTTACTATATTTTCTTTTCTACTTTTTTTTTTTTTTTTTAATTTAATCATTGCCGCTTGCTTATCGAAAAGACACGCCACACGGAGAGGCAATAAAATAAAAATCAATGGCAAGTGAATTCACCGTTTGCCAAGGTGATTAATGCGAATGCTTTCCAATGTGAGTTATAGCAGACGCCGCGACTGGACAGCCAGAGAGATGCATATGAATAGATATATAAAAGTGATTAAGGTAGCGAGAACAGTTAGAGTTGAAACATCTTTGTCTATGTAGATGATATATGGCACAACAGCTGCGACAAATTCCTATACTAGATAAGATTTGCATACCGTGAACAGTGTTTAGATCTTTGTAGTAGAACTTTCTTTCAGGTCTCTGATTCCCAAACACCCATATTTCCATATATAGAGCACGCAGATCAAGTCAACTTCAAATCATCGATAACTTTTGCCACTTGCTCTCGATTAATAATAAAT